ACACACACACACACACACACACACACACACACACACACACACACACACACACACACACACACAAAAAACATTTACAAAGTGCACAAATGACATTTCTTCTAAGTGTTGCTGTCTAACCCAGAGCTCTGCATGGCCTCAGCCTGGTTCAGACAGGCTTTGACCACAGAAGACATCCCGCTAAACGCGTCGGCCGCCTCTGCCAGGCCTTCAGCCAGGCTCCACACCTTCTTCAGAGCCAGCAAGGCGTACAGGCGCACGCTGAAGTTGTGACTGAAACACGACTGCAAGACCACGTCCAGGGCTTTACGCAGCTGCACCTCCTTCATTTAAACACAGAAGATAGAAAACATTAGAAACAGTAAAAACTGAGGCGTAWTGATTAGGTGCAAGGTTGTACCTTTTCCTTAACTTGTGGAATAATAACACTAAAGTGGATCAGAACAGACAYGAAGGTGCAGACACTTGTTTTGGTCTGTTCATGATCCTGAAAAACAAAATTAAAAATTTGTTTCTGAGACTGTTTTTCTTAATTTTTTTTTATTTCTCCTGACAGACGGTTAGAAAAAAAAATGCTCACCAGATTAAAGCAAGTCCAAAATCTGTCAATATGTTGCGGATACTGGACTAGGATTAGAATCATCATCCACTCTATCAAGTATTTCACTGAGGGTTGGTTGCTGCAGAATCCAGCTTCAAACACACGGTTCAGCAGAGAGGAAACAAACTCCTGCACAAACAATCAAGAAAAAACTGTTTTGTTTTGTTTTCTGAAAGCAGTTATTTCCTGTGAGGATGTCAGAGAAACTGTTGTGTTACCTCTCTGAGTTTGGGCAGCACCAGCAGCAGTGTTTGCCACACTCTGTTTTTGACCCGATGTTGCAGGGAGTTACTATGGTAGCGTACTTTAGACTTTGATATGATGTTATCCTGTGGAGTGGGGCGGTGAAAAAGATAATGGAAAATGGAGTTAAACYTAAGTTTTTATTTTCTTGGGAAAGCCCCATAAATACAGTTATTACAAAGCATCAAGTGGATAAATAAACAAAAAACAGGTGACTATCAAAACAGAACCAGCCTCCTTATTTTCTGCTCTGATAACCCGGATTATTAAAGTATAAATTACTGTAAGATGGGCAATATAACATTTACGACCTACATATTGGCCCACTATTCTCAGATAAGAAAGGAAAATATATCCACGAGGTTTGAGAATTGATTCGTTATAATATTGTCATTTCCAAACAGACTTTGTTCAGTACAAACAAAAAAAACGTGTGCTAACATGTGAAAATTACTATTTTGAATATATGCACTTTATTGTCCTTCGATTTGATAAATCAAAATGTTTTTCTTTGGAAAATTTAAAGTAAAACGAAGAGAGCTGCCCATTTTTGTRAACAAAAACAAACCCTAACATCTAGAATGTCTTAGTTTTGGTGAAGGCCTTGATTATTTCAGCCAAACAATGCCTGTATTCTAACAGTACGATACTGTAATGGTAACTGTTTTAATTGTTTTATCTTAAGTTTATTTTCTCACTGTAGGATTTTGAACTCAAAACTGCTGATTGCTGATGTATTTTTGCACAGACACTGTATTAACACAACAAAATGCACCGTTAATTTCATGATTTTCGAGAATTTACATCCAAATTTTCTGAAGTTTCGTACCTTTTTCAACAACTGCACAACTAACTCCTCTAGGAGCCTTTCATGCTGCTGATTAGAGGATTCCAGCGAGTTAAGAAAAGTCAGCACACATGTGCGGGGCAGCTGATCATCCCTGTTGTCGCTGCAAACCAGAGAGAAGTTCAGCAACAGCGCCATCTAGTGGTGATCATTATAACAGCCTGGGAATGACTTGAGATTTTACTCACCTAAGAACTGCGACATTAGCTGCACACTTTTCACCGAGCTGCTCCACATATATTTGGACATCGGAAACGAGTCTTTAAAACAGAAAATGTAAACGTTTGAAACAGCTTTGATGAACAACACAAACTGAGAAAGGCTGCTAAGATTTACCGCTGATCTCTCCTGAGGACTGGTCCATAAACGCAGGCGTCAGCGACTATGTTGACGTGGCTGAAAACACTAGAAAACACCGTGTCTGCCTGCTCACCGCTGCACGGGTCTGTGGGCAGCCATGTCTGACAGCAGTGCTGAAGCAGAACGCCAAACACGCCGCTTTTTGACTGAGACAGTTCCAGCAGTTCTGAGGAAACCTAAAAGCAGACATTAAACATCCCGACATGACGTGAATGTGGAATCTGGACAACAGAGGATCTGGAGAATGTGGAATATTCTACTTTTCTGAGCTTTCCAGCCTATTTCGAGTCACCTGTTTGAGAGCGGCCGTGAGGGTCGGAGCTTCGGCGTGCGTCAGCTGGAGGAGTTTGTGCTGAAAGGCCATGGATATGAAGCCTTTTAATGCTGGCCAGAAGTTGTGAGCGTTAGTGCTGAGCGCCTGTACGAGCTCCCAGCTCAGAGTCACCGCCTGCACGCAGAGGGCCTCCTCATGCTGCAGTAACTGGAATCAAAAGACAGATTATTGTGTGAAAACCAGGTTAACATACACAATATTGATTTTTTCTCTTGTATGTTTTTTGTACTTAAATCTTAATACTTTCTACTATTCTAGTCATAGCATTTAGCTTATGGCTAGCATTTTCATACTTTTGGCAAGCATTTTTTTCCTTCTCTCTGCCACCTTTCATTTCATTTTATTTGTATTTTCTTTTTTTAATTGTACACAGAATTACTCTTTTTTAAAGAAATTAATAAAGTTTGAAAATTAGAAAAAAAATTGCTAGTTCTAGCTAGCATTGTAAAAACTTTAGCATTTAGATAGCTGTTTTCTGATTTTAGCTAGAGTCTTCCTATATTTATTTAGCCTTTTGCTACTGTTATCTAGTCTGAAAGTAACATGAACAATAAGATCCCAAATCAAGAGAAGAAAACTGGTCCGGGACTCAGACTTGAATGTTCATTCTCAGACATTTAAAGTGCATCACGTTGCAGCGCTGAACTCTTCTGCCTAAGAGATCCGGACAAAATAGCTCAGAATCACGTGTTCTTACGTTTCTAGACAATCTTGTCAATCAGAATCAGTTTTATTGCCATTGTCAGTGATGAACACAGACTAGGAACTTGCAGTTAAGAACACCCATTCTTATTACACACACATAAACAACAGGGAGAACGGATGTTCAGGTCTTTCCCAATTTGGTCACGCTACCATTTGCAGCTTGGAATACACAACAGGAAAGATGAGTTAAAATAAGAAGCTCTGATCCTATGTTTACTCATAAACACAGAATCATATGCTTCAAAAAACACTCGCAAATCACAAAATATCTTATGCCTTTTGATATTAGCGCTTAGCCACTGTTTTTATACATTAGCTTTTAGCTACCATTTTACTATTTTTCACTTTCAGCTATTATTTTGCTCATTTTAGCTTTTAGTTAAAGGGGCAATATCATGTAAAATCAACTTTTTTGAGTTTTATATCAAGTTATGATGTTATACTCTCATAAAAAAACATGCCAAAGCCTTGCTTTGACTCATTCAGGCACGTTTGAGAAATCCTGCAGTGTTTTTAGGCAGCCATGCTGAGGAGCAAAACGACAGGTGGGGACCAGAAACACCTTTTGGGACCAGAAACGCCCCTGGGACGTGTCTTTAAGCCGAACTTCCTCATCAAGGAGCACACCTCCCCACCCCACACGCCCCGCCCATGACTCCTGCAGGCTCTCGGCAGTAACAAAGCAAAGGAGTGAAAGTGAAACTTAAACTGTCTGCTGCTCTCAACACTACTTCTCACTCAGTGAAGCTCTTTTCAGATTCAAAATACCTTTGAGGAAATGTATTTTCAGATCATAGCGCATGCGCGAACCCCACCGCGCGACCCCCCCCCAACACCGAAATGGGCGGGACAGAAGCAGAAGGTGGTTCTTAAAGAGACAAGAGGCCAATTTCAAGGCGTTTAGAAGAGGAAGTGATYAGAAGATAAGTTTATTTTCTATTTAAACATAACAGCATTTTAATAACAGCTAAAGGTGACATAGATACTTTATTATGATGTAGTATTTAAAAGTATGCCTGAGAAACACATAATATCGCCCTTTTAATATTTCACAACATTTAGCAAGTTTTCTGCCTGTTTTAGCTTTAAGAATTCAGCTAGCTTCAGCTACTTTTAGCAGTCATCCAGAAATGGGGACCTTCACTCATGACGTCACGCATATCTGATGCTCGCTCAACAGAACGGACGGACAGTCTGGATCCTACGGAGAGTCAGTGTTAATATCGTAACAGAAAATTCTATTTCTAGAGCAAATTTGGATGCATTTGACACCAGGAATCACAGGAAAGTTCATTTGAAAGGTAATAAAACAAACCCAACTTCTAGCTGCTGTCAAACGTTTCACTGTTGCTGAACGGAGACCTCACCTGTGGCATCACGGTCTTCATGAAGTCCAGCGCCGGCAGTACCAGGTCACTGGGCAGCAGAGAAAGGGCCTCGAAACTGCAACTCAGAGCAGCTTTCAGAGTCTCGGGTGTTTTGGAAAACTCCGCTGACTCGGGAATTCCTGCGGCTTTAACCAAGAAGTTCAGACAGATCCACTGGTTCCACATAAAGGTGGCGGAGATGCGACCCCAGTCCTGCTGCAGAAAACCTTGTGCTTCAAGATCACTGTTAAAAAAAAGAAAAACTCGTTTTTTTATCATTATTATTTTGGCAGTAATGTCTGCTGAAATGTTTTAATCTATGATGAAGATTTCCACTAACTTTGAGCCGTCTATTAGCTGTGGTTTCATCAGGCATTTGTTGATGCTCCCCAGAGATGACGGACGTTCTGAGGAAGCTGTCGAATTGTAGAAGTAATGATTCAGCGATTTCAGAGCAGAAACAACTTCCGGTTGTTTGCCGATCCCTTCCTGCTCCATAAGACCACAGACAGTGGCCAGAGAGGCCATACTAACAGCTCTGGCCACCTGGTTTGTCACAGAAGGGATCTGAAAACAACAAAAACAAGCAGTCAGTAGCGAACAGCCAAGCTGACACATCCAAAACCTTTTTTGGCGTTACCGGTTGGGTTGCTTCTTGCAAGACTGCAAGGCTGTACTTGATGAGTTTAGGGAAACCGGACGGTTGGATTTTATTGCGGCACATGAGAACAAGCTGCCTCCAGACCCACAGATACAGCTCTGCTCGCTCCACGTCAAACAGCTGGTAAAGAATTATGACATCAGAGTTTATCACTAGAGGCCTTTTAGTGATTGGARGGAGCAGAAATGGTGCAGTTTACCTCCTGTAGCTCCCCACACAGACGCCTCAAGATGAACTCCTGGATTGGATGGGCGTGTTTAAAAATGAGCTGTTTTAAGGCAGCAGTTACTTTATCTCCTGTGGGGAAAAAAAAAAGATGAAAAATAAATTAAAATGCACAAACTCAGCAACTACCCCATCACAGTTTTAGCTTGATATCTGGAAGACAGACTGGGTTTTAACCATTTTAGTGTTTTTTGAGGTTGGTTGGCAAACATCTTGAATTGGGTCAGAACCAAAATGTAATCAGTTGTTGACGTACATCCAGTAAATACTTTCTTAGAGTTTCATTAAAGGTGGGGGGGTATTATGCAAAATGGAATTTTTTAAGTTTTATATCATGTTATGTCGTTCCCTCATCAAAAACAGACCCAGAGTGTTGCTTTGACTCYTTCATGCATGTTTGAGAAATCCTTGAATCTCTTCTAGTAACCATGTGGAGCTGCTTAAACACTTGCCGATACAAAGCACCGCCTATTTACACAAAGCTCCTCCCTGACAGCACAACCCCCCCCACACACACACAGCTCCACTAGATCTGGAAATTTAATTAAAGCCTAGATTTCTTGAATGAATGCTTGTCTATTTACTGTACAGTGAAAGAACTGTTCATCTAACCAAGTTTTATAATATTATATCCAGTCCGAAAAAATATGTTAGGGCTGCGCGGTACATGTGACAGACGGTAGAAATGAAACGAAGTTGGCCTACGGCAGAAATTTACCCTCTACCGTCCTGTCGTCAGTTACATCATCACACCTGTGTCAACAGGGCTGCGAGTGCAGAGACACCTGAGCAGGAGGAGTTTGAAATATTCTGAGAATAAATGAAGAAATATAGCATTTTAAAACGTAAAGACAGAATAAATCCTCAAAATTTCCCCCTCCCCTCTAGAAATGTTAAGTCGTGCCGTCYTGTCGCGGGATCATTTCCTCCCTTCCCGCTGCACGTTGTGCAGAGCGAAGTTTTAACAACAGTAGTTTTTTCACACCCAAGTTGTCGAAGAAAAAACTTGTTTTTTTACGTTTTGTTACCAGACAAAAAGACATGGACCTTTGTTCAGTCATAAATCCATCTTGCTAATGTAACAGTCGGGTCTGAGTGCTCTGAGAGCGCAGCAGAGCAGCAGCCGATAAGTTCAGCAGGCAGAAGCTCATTTTATGGCAGGTCAGTATTACATTTATTTGACTTCACCACACTTTCATTCGTTATCTGAAATTGTTTTGTGACTAGGACTATGTGCAGCTTAAGCCCCTTAAGGCCCTGTCACACTATAACATTTGAAGCAACTTATGCCAACTTAGAATATTTTTTTTGTCTAAATGACTAATTTTACTTGAAGTACTGGTTAAAACATCCACTTTATTTTGATATTGTTGAAACTTTGATAAATGTTTTTGTTTGTTGTTGAAACTATTTTGCAATATATATATATAAAACATTCTTTTGTACTTCTGTTAAGTTCATTTGCACTAAGCAAAAATGTTGAGTTTGATTATGATTACAGTTTTCTGCAAAATAAATGCTCTAAAAATTACATTTTCTTTGCTTTTTATGATAATTTTCTACCGCGTTATATACCTTTACCGTGAAGGGATTCAATTTATACCATGATATGAATTTGAAGTCATACCG